AAGCATCACGACCCCAATCAGATTTTTTTGCAGCTGATGCTGCCTGCCCAAGTTGCAGAGACAATCATGTGGGAAAATAAATAATAATAAAAGGGGGGGGAAATAATAATATAAAATAATACAATAATAATAGAAGGGGGAGAAAAGAGGGATGGAGGGGGGTAAAAAGGAGAAGGGGGAGAAAAGGAGGTGAAGGGGGGAAAAAGAGGGAGGGGAAAGAAAAGGGAGAGAAGGGGGGAAGAAAAGGGGAGAAAAAGAGGATAAGGGGGAAAGGGGGATAATGGGAAAAGAGGGAGAGTGGGGAAAAAGGATGGGGGGAAATGGGGAGGAGGAGAAAACGGGGAGAAGGGGGGAAAAGGAAGAGAACGGGGGGGAAAAACAGGGAGAAGGGGTCTGCTTCCTCCTCCCTAGGACTTCATTTGGGGCCATGATCAAAGAATTACCAGGGAGCTGGACGGGGCTCAGCACCATCCTGAACTCACGGGCGAGGAGTGGACGTGGATGGATGGATCCCCTTTGCAGATGATTCGTGAGTTGTTCCCAAGCCCCGTGCAAAAATCCCATCCCAGGAGAAATTTGGGTTGCTCACCCCCTTCCTTGACAGCAAACTCCCCCCAGAATCCTTCCAGAGCTGGTGGGGAGCAAATGAAATTTAGGCAATGCGGGCCCACAACCCCCAGCTGCTTGGCAAGGAGAGGAAGAAGTGATCAAAGCATTTTTCCTTAGTATTTTCCCTGTAATTTCAGGCAGGGAAATTAAATGGTTAAAAAGGAGATGCCCAATCCGGGATATTTTGCAGCTGGGGTCCTCCTGTAGCCAGATTGACTTTGATATCCAAAAAAAAAAAATAGAGCTTTTGGGAGAGATAAATATTTATTAGACAAAGCAGGGGGTGTATGGGGAGGAGAAACGAGTGGTTTTTTTTGTTTGTTTTGTTTTTTGTTTTGTTTTTTTTTTGTTTGTTTTTTTTTTTGTATTTTTGTGTTGTTTTTTTTTGGGTTTTGTTTTTTGTTTGTTTGTTTGTGGGGCAAAAGCTGGAAAATTGCTTTCTCTGGAGTAACAGGAGGCAAACAGGGTGGTACACTCCAAGCTGAACGGCTGACTTGGTTAAACTTTTTTGGGGGCTAAACAACCATCTGAAGAGATGAAATGTTGCTGCTGGAAGCAGCATCGCAGCTTTTCTGTTTGCTGACAAAATCTTGCTTACGGTGCTCCCCAGGCTGCAGGTGATGGGGGAAAGAGGCGAATGCCTGTGTGGCGATATCGAAGGGGCAGCTCCGCTCCCACTATGTGCAGCACGCCATTGCATTGGATTTGCCAGAAAGAGGCCACTAAGATTTAAGCACAGCTTCAACTGAGGGAGCCACGACAAGGCACAAACGGGATGGGACACGGCACCGGGATGCCAAAAAGCAGCTCCAGAGCTTCGAGGCTGGTGGCTTCTCCCAGCTCTGCTTCGTTCCTCCGCTTTCCCTTTCTCCTCCTACCTGAATCCGCAAACAAGGGCATCAAGCCCTCAAGCTTCAGAGTGCTGGACAAATGTTTTTTCCAAACCTTTTGGATATTCCCAAGTCTCTCTGCAACTGCTGCAAAGACACGAGTGGCTGAAGGATCCTTTTATCCCAGAGCTCCACGCTGTTGTTTCGAGGAGTTTCTACTTCTGCAAGCTGAAGTTAAAATAAATTAATACTTATTTTTTTAAATAAAGCACCGTCAGGAACCCTACACAAGGGGGTTTAATGATAGCAGCTTTCTCTTCGTCATCTTCACGGTGTAAATTCGGAGGCGACTCCAGGATGCAGGAGGATGCTGCAGGGGGCCACTCAGGGCTCTCCTCCAACTATGCTCCCCTGGGGCTCTGCAGGGGGTGGCTGCAGACTGAATACTTCTGCTGGGAGCACCAGTCACTGCTGACCCCAGCCAGGTTGATGTAGGCACATTGGCCATTGCCCGTATCGAACCTGCACAGAGTAGCAGAAGGAGAAGTCAAGGGGCTGAGCATCTCCCACATAAGCAAACGGTGCTGGAAGGAGGAGGAGGAATCCTTTCCAGCGGACAATGACCCCTATGCAAAGCTAAGTCTGCCCCCTTCCATGAAGGAAGGAATATTTTTGATTGATTAATCCCATATGGGTTCATCCAGGGATGCCCTCTGCATCCACAAGCTGCTTCCCAGTGTTATATATGGAATGGTAATTTGTGTCGAGAAAATGGTTGATATTAATAAAGAAGGGGGAGATTTGAGAGTGTGGCCATGGGGGTCAGAAAGCCCTGTGGTTGAGATACCATTAGACTCTTAACGACGAGGCCATCAGGAATATAAAAGAGTTTAGCGGGAACAAAGAAGGGTGATTCAGGAGACTCCATGCAGTCTCTGGTTTCTTGTTCTCCAGCTGGTCTCTTGTTCTCCAGCTTAAGGCATGGATGTTTCTGGGTGTTTGCTGTTGTTGTTACATTCAAAGTTGTCTGACCAATGAAAAGTTGTTTTGAAAAGAACTGCTGTGGAGAGAGCCTGTCCTCAAGATGAAAAAGGCAACACTATGTGATGAAGTTATGTCATCAATAAAGAAGCAGAAAGAAGGAATGAAAAGGAACAGGCTGGCAGAATGGAGACCAGGACGGGAACAGGCACACTGATCGCTTCATGAAGATAGGTTCGGCCAAACTCAGCAAACTGCTCAGAGAATCTTGTACTGAAAGTCACTGGAAACAGACGCACTGGAGCTGGAGAGAAGCTCAGGCTGAGAGAAGTGGACCTGTGCACACAACTGCCCCTCGCTGGTAAGCAGTTGCGCATTATGGGGAGTCATACGTCCTTAGGAACAAAGTCCTGGAACCTTACAGCTTATTCTCCTTCTTAACAATTGGACAGTTTATAAGCCTGAAACATGGGACCAAATTGAGGTCAAGGTGTGGGACTCTGCAACTAAAAATGACAAGGTTGCAGTGGGATTGCTTGGCACCTGGCGAGCAATCTCTGAGGCCTTAAAGAGTCATATGGGACCACAGTCAGAAACGTGTGGTTTGCCAGATAGTAAGGGACCTGCTGCGGGCTCCTTTGCTGATCCAACTGCTAGCCATCAGCCCCTCTGCCACTACAGCCGTCAAAGGCTTTTGTTGTTACGCCCCCTGTTGACCTAAACGTGCCTTTTGTCCCAGGCCTCATTGGCCTTGAAAAGGAGATGGATATGCTTTTCTTCGATCCGGGAAGAACAGGATACATAAGCCCCGAAGGCCCAGTTGCTTGACAACTTAAAGCGAGACATTGTTCAAAAGGAATAGAAAATGGAGACTTGTTTGTAATCAATAAAGGGACTGGAAGATTGAGTCTGTTAAGTCATGGATCTTAAAGGATTGTTTGTTACCTTTTCTGATTGCACATATGTATAGGTGTACTCGGGTTTAGTATGTAAAAGCGATGTTCTGTATATTTAGAATGTTTGATGTTCGTGTGTGCGTGTTGGTGGAGCGTAGACTCCCCGCACACCCAGCCCTATTTACTTGCCTTTTATAGTTTTTATACCTTTTATAGCTTTTATACCTTCTATAGATTTTAGAAATATTACAAAATTCAGATTGAGTTGAGACATCATTTATAACATTAGTATTATAAATGAAGTCTCAACTCAATCTGAATTTAGTAATATTTATACTTATAAAAGGTATAAAAGGCAATTAAACAGTGCTGGGTGTGCGGGGAGTCTACACTCCACCAACACGCACACACGAACATCAAACATTCTAAATATATAGAACATCGCTTTTACATACTAAACCCGAGTATGCCTATACATATGTGCAATCAGAAAAGGTAACAAACAATCCTTGAAGTTCCGTGACTTAACAGTCTCCATTTTCCATTCCTTTTCTTGATTACTAACAAGTCTCCATTTTCTATTCCTTTTGAACAATGTCTCGCTTTAAGTTGTCAAGCAACTGGGCCTTTGGGGCTTATGTATCCTGTTCTTCCCAGATCAAAGAAAAGCATATCCATCTCCTTTTCAAGCCAATGAGGCCTGGGTCGAAAGGCACGTTTAGGCCAACAGGGGGCGGAACAGCAAAAGCCTTCCATGGCTGTAGCAGCAGAGGGACGGATGCCCTAGCAGTCGGATCAGTAAACGAGCCCGCAGCTCCCTCACTATCTGGTAAACCACACGTTTGTGAATTGTGGATCCACATGGCTCTTTAAGGCCTCGGGCATTGCTCACCAGGTGCCCAGCAATCTCACCGCAACCTTGTCGTTTTTAGTTGCAGAGTCCCAACACCTTGACCTCTATTTGGACCCATATTTCAGGCTCATAAACTGTCCAATTGTTAATAAGGAGAATAAGCTGTAAGGTTTCCAGGACTTTGTTCCTAAGGACGTATGACTCCCCATAATGTGCAGCTGCTTACCAGCGAGGGGCAGTTGTGTGCACAGGTCCACTTCTCTCAGCCTGAGCTTCTTCCCAGCTCCGGTGCACCCATTTCCAGCAACTTTCAGTACGAGCTTGTCTGAGCAGTTTGCTAAGTTTGGCCGAACCTATCTTCATGAGGCGATCAAAGTGCCTGTTCCTGTCCTGGTCTCTGTTCCGCTAGCCTGTTCCTTTTCATTTCTTCTTTCTGCTTCTTTATTGATGACATAACTTCATCACATAGTGTTGCCTTCCTTTTTTACCTTGGAGGGCAGGCTCCCCTCTTAAACCCTTGTCTCCACAGCAGTACTTTTCAACACAACTTTTAATTGGTCAAACAACTTTGCCTATAACAACAGCAAACACCCAGAAACATCCATGCCTTAACAGCTGGAGAACTAGAGAACCATCTGGAGAACAAGAAACCAGAGACTGCATGGAGTCTCCTGAATCACCCTTCTTTGTTCCCTCTAAACTCTTTTATATTCCTGATGGCCTCATCATTAAGAGTCTAATATTATCTCAATCACGGGGTTTTCCAACCCCCATGGCCACACTCCCAAATCTCCCCCCTTCTTTATTAATATCAACCATTTTCTCAACACGAATTACCACTCCACATATAACAACTCAATATATAACAGGGGCATTGAACGGTCGTGAGCTGTGGCAGGAAGCTCCAGCCCCGCCGCTGGTTTGCACTTCACCAGTACAGCTCTGAGCATTTGGGTTTCCTGTCCTCTGGACTCCGTTGTGTCCCCTCCACCTTCTGCGTGTCCTTCTGCCATGGAGGATGAGGATGGCTACATGGCCTTGGACAGGCGATGCAAGCGGGGTGCTGCGGAGAGGCTGGGACCCCTCCGGGACGCAGGTAGCGGGGTCCGATCCTCCGTCCCCACACCACGGGTTTGTGGTGGCGAGAGGATACCCCGGGTGGCGATTGGTTGGCAGGGGGAAGAAGCGGGGTGGTGCAGCTCTTGGGGTCCCAGAGAGTCGCTCAAGCTGGGGAAACTGTGAGGTGGCTTACAGGGGATGCTTGCCTTTGATAAACTCGGTATTGTGGAACAAAAATGGTTTTGCACCAGAACTGGGAACAAGGGCAAGGACAGGAAATGCCACAGAGGTGGTTCCATTGCTCTGTGAGGGCTGGAGATGGATGAAGTGTGAGAAAAGAGAGAGAAAGGAAGCATTTTGGGGACCTCTGCTCTACGGTATCCCCTTGCATGGCAAAGTACTCGGCAGTACATCCCCATTTTCTAGAATCATAACGTTGGTGTGTACTACCCCATAGGAGGTCAATTTCTGTACCAGCACACTTAAGGGGAATAGGAGAAATGGGAAATAAGTGTCCCAGGGGACAGGGGGATGTCCCTGGGACAATGCCTACTGAGAGTCCTTTAGGAAGAATGCTAAGGAATCGGTTGCAGCAAGGTTTGTAGCTCTGGGGGAGCATGGGAGGATGGAAAGAGCATGCAGGGCTGATGCATGTCTTTTGAAGGCACCTGCACTTGTTTGAGGACCTCCAGATGGATTTAGAGGTGGCTGCATGGTAAAATTCAGAGTCTGTCCTCACCCACCCAAAAACCCTGTCCAGTGCCCATCCCACCAATGCCCCACCACAGCCAGATCTTGCTATCCCCCAGCATAACCCCATTTATATCGTTTTTCTTTATCTCTTGGAGGAACTTCTTCAAATAGGAAGATTTTGAAACCAGGCTATCCAAACTAAATGTCTTGCAATTATGTTATCAGGATGCAGATTTTTACATAAAAGAGAAAAAAATATTATTATTATTTTTAAAAGTTTTGCAAGCTATGGTCAGGATGGAGGCAGAGCCCTTTTGCAGCCTTTTTTTTTTATTAGTTGCGGAGGTCATCTCTTGTTTTTTTGTTTGTTTTTTTTTTTTTTTTGACACCTTTTTTTGTCACCGTGAAGGAAGAGAAATGTAAAAGTGGTCCTGCCTCTGCTCAATGCAGAAAATCGAGTACAAAATTTTCCATGAAGTCAATGAAATCCGAAGGCAGAGCAACAACAAATAGCAAAATGGATTGGTGGTGCTTTTTCCCAAGTCCTAGGAAGTGCCAGCTGCTCCATGCAGCGGAGGCTAGGTCAAGCTGGCATGAGAAAATGAAATTAAACATCAAGATAATGCATATTTATTTTGCTGCAGAAAATAAGCAAGGGAAAAAAAACCCTCTTTGCCTCTTCTGGTGCAAAAGTTACAGGATAAATTACTTGGCATGGAAGAAAAAGCAACAAATTGCAATCAAAACCATCCCCTTCCAGCTTTTGGTTTACACACAACTGATGCCCAAGCCGTATTCCAGGGAAGACACACCAAATACCACCTTTATCCTCCTTCCCTGTATATCTGCTGGTATGCATTGGCCTGCCCCCATTAATATATATATATATATATATATATATATATATAAATATATATACATTGAAGGGCTTTTATTTTGTCTTTTGTCACCTCTCTACTCTCCTGGTAGCTCAGCACCGCAGTGCTTGCTGTGGTCACTAAAGACAAAAGGTGTTTCTGCACCTCCAGAGGTGCGACCTCCTCCTGCCTTGAGGCTGTCTGCCTACCTGCCATCCTTCGACTGAAAGGGACCACCATCGCTGGAGGTCTTTAAAAGACATTTAGGTGTTGAGCTTAGGGATATGATTTAGTGAAGGACTTGTTAGTTTTAGGTCAGAGGTTGGACTGGGCGATCTGGAAGGTCTCTTCCAACCTAGATGATTCTGTGAAAGGAAAGTCTGTAGCATATATCTATGTATCTATAAAAAAAAAAAAAAAAGAAGAAGAAGAAGACTAAAAAAAGCCATTTCCTGGCACTGGACGCAGGCGCAAGAATGTTGGTCATAACACAAAGGTTGCCCGGGGACGTTGTCACTCCTGGGATGCTTCTGTGGGCGGGCAAGCTGACCATGGCTGGGGAAATTATGTATGCCGATTTAAGGCAGCCCGGAGAGGGGGCTCTTCACCTGCTGAGAGGCATCACAGTAAGTGTGATTTTGGGTGGTGGGCGCTCACGGCGAGCTCCAGGAAGAGCTGACGTTTGGGTCCGCTTGCGTCTTGGCCAAGAAAAACGGCCAAGTGCCAGTTGGGGTGCGGGTTGATCCCGGTTTGTGCAGGCAGCGAAAGTAAGGAAGGAAAGAAGGAAGGACGGGGGAGAAGGAAGCTTGCAAATGGCCAGAGCTTCAACGATTTCACTGCTGGGGCTGCTATCCCCACAGCAAAAATCAGCCCTAACGCAAGCCGTTGGAAGTCAAAGCTTGGCAAAACATGCCCAGGACCCTGGTGGAGAGGAGGTGTGGAGGGACCCAAGTCCCACCAGCAGCCACCTGTTCTAAATGAGGCCAATTTCCCAAGAGTTTGGGTCTGTCCCCCCTGCTCTTGAGGACCCCCACCGCCTCCCAGAGCACTCAGAGGTGACAGCCTCACTTCCGAGCCCAACCTCAGCACCAAGCCTCCAACAGGAGCAAAGCCCTCCACCGGGACTCCTTCCCCACTGGGACCCACTGGTGCAACTGGGAAGCCGCAGCCCAGCCGCTCCCCATCCCCTCCAAGCACCTGGAGGCTTTGCTCCAGCCAAAGCTGCACCACGGTGAGCAGCAGGACCTGTGCAAGGAGCGTCCTGGGGTGGGAAATGCAAAGAGAAGGTTGAGATCGTTGGGTTTTCACTTGTTTTTGTTTTTTTTTTGTTTTTTGTTTTTTGTGGAGGTAGCAAAGCGTCTGTCGAGTTCTGCTCAGAGGGGCTCTATTTTGTTTTATTTTGTTATGATATGATGTGATATGATATTTATTTATTTTTTTTATTTATTTCATTTCATTTCATTGTATTTTAATTTTATTTTACAAGAAAGCACTTTCTGAACAATACCATGGGCTCTTTCAGCTCCCGCCGTGTGCCCACGGTGGCACGGAGTCGTTCTGAAGCTGAGCGGGCTGGGCTGCCTGGTGCTGGTGGTGCTGGTGGTGGTGCTCAGTGTGCAGGGTGAGTAAAACCCACTTGAAAACGTCCAAAACTCAAGCGAGCACAAGAGAAATTGCACTTTTATTTATTTATTTTTATTATTTTTTATTTTCTCACCAAGGGGAGGTCAGGGTTTTATCCCAGGAACTGGGACAGTGATACTGTTTGGGTGGGGACGATTTTGCCCCATGTGGACAAGGGTAAATCCCCTCTCAAAACAAACACACAAACACAAAACCACAAAAAAAAAAAAATAAGGCAACAACAACCAAAAAAGGGCAACATTTCTATGCTATTGCAAAAGTTGTGTTATAACCAGAAAAGGCACTTGCACAATAGCTCGGGGAACCCAACTCAGCCCTGCTCGGTTTTCACAATGTTGCCCCAAACAGCCTCAATCTCACCCCAAAATTTTGTCTCTAAGTTTTTCAGAAGGCACCGACACCTCTGCAGAACAAGAGCGAGGCCAGGGGAAGGAGCAGGACAGAGGAGTGCGCGATTTCCTCCCTGCAGCGCTACTTCTGCCGCTGGAACGGCTCCGCAGGTAACCCCTTCCCCGGGGGGGTCCCTGGGGTGGGGTGGGTGTCCCCGGGGGGGCTGTGAGCCCAGCTCGGTGTCAATGAGCATGGTGAGGAGGAGCTCGTTTTGCTGATCATCTCCATCCTCTGTGGGCCTCCGGGAGGAGGAGGCACCTCTCCACCTTCATCGTGCTCTCCCCACCGTGTTGTCCTTGTGGTGGATGGGTGGGGAAAGCGGGCAGGAAAAATTTGGGAGGGGAGAGAGCTCCCTCCCCAGTGTAACTTGACTGGTTTGAGCGAGACTTCGAGCACTTTTGGGGTGTCTCACGGCTCCGTCTCCTCTCCAGGCCATGGGGGCTGCAAGCTGTGCCCCCTGTCTTGGCAGCTTTTTGGGGACCAGTGCTACCAGGTTTCCAAATCAACTGGGAATTGGATGGACGGCAAAAAAGACTGCGAAAGTCGGGGGTCCCATCTGGCCGTGCTCCGAAACACCACCGATATGGTAAGTGCAGAGTGGAGAAGGCTTGAAAAGGACCCAAAAGTCCTGGGTTTTGGTGGGTAGAGGGGCAAAAAATGCCCTGGAGCTTCTGGTTGGTGGCAGGAGGCTTGGTAGCTCCAAGCCACTTCACACTAAGGAGGGAACAGGGCTGAATCAGCACCAAAAGGGCTTTGGAGGCCTCTTCCTACCTTTGGCATGGGAAGAAGAAGGGACACAGAGCTCAGGGGGAGCCTCTGGTGACTCAGGCTCTGAATTTAAGCAATTTCCTCCCACTGAGTGAGGCAGAACCCAAGGCACAGGTGGTGTTTAGGGCCCATCTCTTTGAGGATGAACCAAATGGGTTCAAAAAGCCAGCTTTGCACCCCAACAAGCCTCTTGCTGAAGGCCCCTGGAAGCCACCACTCCTCTCCCATTTCCCCAGGAGCACTTACGTGAGGGGATCCAGCAGGACAGCAAGGAGAAGCTAACGGTGTGGATTGGATTAAAGGCATCCAGTAACACATGGAAATGGGTGGACAACTCCTCCTTCGATGCCACCATGTGAGTACAGCTGCAACCCGTGGTGTGCAGAGCAGCTTTGCTCCACTTCAGCCCCAAAATCTCCAATATTTGGTGTCCACGTCAGCTTTGTAATCCCTCAGAAAGCTTTATAGCCCAATAGTTGGCTGTACAAAGCTCTATAACCCAACATCTAATCATGCCTATGCAGCCAACATGGTTTTAATGCCCTGGGCATGCTCCAGTGGAGGAAGGAGCCAGATGGTAGTGCAAGCACAGCAATCTGCATGCGCATCTGGGCAAGCCTGCAGCAAGAAGCCTCCTGGAGCCCAGTGAGACAGGCTGGGAGAGAAGCTCCCCATTGCCCCCTCTCCCAAGAGCAAAAGGAGCTGCCTTTGAGTGCTGATGGTTTTGGTTTGCAGGTTCAGTTCCCTTGGGGGTAAGAATGGCTGCGCAACATTGAAAGACAAGAAGCTGGAGGTCAACAACTGTGGGAGCAACCACAAGTGGGTTTGCCAGACAGAACCCTTCCATCTCTTTTCAAAGACTGCAGGAGACAGAGAGCTGTATGGTGCCCACCCCAAAAAGACCAGCCTGCAGGATGCTTGCTGCTAATATCTGGGGTGAAGCCAACCCTCCTTGTTACAGCTCTGCGAGGAATTTCAGGGTTTGAACCCGACCAAGCCCATCTGAGACTATCAGTGTATGGACTTGTGAAATTAGCATGTGTTTTTTTTGTTTGATTTTTTTTGTTTATTTGTTTGTTTTATTATTATTAAAAAAAGCATACCTATATGTACATACAGACTGTATTTGTTCCATTCTTGCTTTGTCCTCCTTCCAACAGGAAATGTATAGTAAAAAAATAGCGTAATTCCGTAGCACATCAGATTCACAGGTTTCAGATTTAGTATTACAAACATGCCATTTTCATCTGTAGAAAAATAAACCAATTTTCTGCTGTACAATGAGAGAGAGAAGCAGGACCGTTGTTGACTTGAGTAGAATCATAGAACAGAATCATAAAACAGAAGCATCAAGTTTCGCTTACTCTGTAGGCCTCACACAGGTTTACCCAAAAATTCATGCCATGTGACTAAGAGCACAGTCAAAATGCTTCTTAGACCTGAACAGGCTTGCTGCAGTGACTGCTTCCCTGGGGAGCCTGCTCCAGTGTGCAACCACCCTCTTGGTGAAGAACCTCTTCCTGATGGCCAGCCTGAACTTCCCCTGCCTCAGCTTGACACCATTCCGTGGGTCCTATCCCTGGTCACTAAAGAGAAGAGATCGGCGCCTGTCCCTCCACTCCACCTCAGGAGGAAGCTGTAGACCATGACGAGGTCTGCCATCAGCCTCCTCTTTTTGAGCCTGAACAGGACAAGTGCCCTCAGCAGCTCCTCATACGTCTTCCCCTCTGGGCCCTTCACCATCTCTGTGGCTCTTCTCTGGACACTCTCCAACACTTTAATGTCCTTTTTGTGCTGTGGTGCCCAAAACTGCACACAGTACTCGAAGGGGAGGCCGGCCCAGTGCAGAGTAGAGCGGGACAATCAACTCCCTCGACTGATTAGTGATATAGTGCTTGATGCACCCCAGGGTATGGTTGTCCCTCCTGGCTGCCAGGGTACACTGCTGGCTCATATTCATTCACCTTGCTCTCAGCTAAAACTCCCAGATTCCTCTCATTGCTGGTGATTTAAAGATCAAAGCCGAAATTTCTTTAAGTGGTATATTCTTTATTGCAGCGCTGGATGCACGGGGGATCCTTCCACCTATCATGCATGTTCGAAGTGACAAACTATCTCATATTTATACAGCAAAACAATTAATATTCAATTAGCACCTATACATATTCATTACCTAACCCCGTCCACCCTCGCTTCGTATGCTAATTAGCTTATCAGTCCTTGCGCTTGCGCAAAGCCTTCCAAGAATTGTGGGCCGGGGTCTTCAGGATGTGGGCAGTGGTCGTTGGGAGGAAGGCCGTAGGTCTTCCTCGTAATGCACTTTTCACCTTTGCTTAAATCAGTTGTTTTCCAAGCTGTAAAAATGCTGAGTTGGCTTTCAATTTAACTGGGGGTCGGCTGATAACAGGAAGTCTCAGTTAACAAGACAAGACAATTGACTCAAGTTATCTCAAGTCTCAGCCTGACTAAAGGTTAACAGATACTGGGATGTTTTCAAATAACAAGATGCTTAAACATAACAAAAGGTCTACAGATAACAAGATGTCGTGTACTTTGTCCCTGCTAACTTTTAACCACAAGTTTTATTCTATCCTGAAGTGAGTTTATACTATATCATTCCCCCCTTTTCTGGAAAATCTAGTAAATTCTTTTACTTAATACAGAAATTTTCTTCCCAGTCTTTATGATATGTACCCCTCAATACCTTACCATGCACATTTGTCAAGGAGGCTAACATGGACATTCGTTGTAACAATTTCCAATTCCAAACAAGTAATACAAAAGACAATATTAAACTTATACCAACTAATATCAATAAAACAATAATTGGGTGACTCAGTGTGTTCAAAATCCCAGTTGCAGTTGGCGACCATCCAAAAAGTGTATCCCACCAGTTGTGACTTGTGTCTCGTTTCACTCTTTGCAAAACTCTGCTTATTTCCTTTGTATCTCTCCGTTTTAACTTATGATACATTGTGTTGTTAGACTTGATCAGCTGGTGGGATACCACTGGTGCCAAATATAGAAAATCACAGCCGACGATTCTAACCAAGTTACAAATACAAAATTAGAATGATTTTTGCTATGGAGAGTTATATTCTCCTTGTCTATTTCTACAAAATCACAAGCAGTTCTTAAACACACGCACCCTTTACCAACATATACAAGCACATTCTTTTGGCTAGTATTTGGATGAATTTCAAAGTGACAGATACCTTGCTCTGTGTCAAAACATATATCCTGAGCCTCAATTGTATTGCTTTCACAAATAAATCCTTGTTGTTCCCCGGTAACACATGATTCTAGATTTACAGACTGCCATTTCCCATTCTCCATCCGTATAGTAAGCACGAAGGCAGTAGCCATGTTAATAATGGGCATAAGTACAATTTACCAGGGTCCACGAGGACTGGAACTTCTCAAAATCATTGGCATTGTCCCAGACTGCCTTTTGGACTTCAGCTGGAAAAATGCCTTTACTTCCTTCCCTAATGATCAAGGCAGCCGTTGCCTGCAACCATAACTGTGCTTGCATACAACTAAGAGCTCAGGATACATTATCTTGTGTCCACTCTTCTCCTAATTTTCACCATTCTGATGGTTTTTATAAATAGTTACCATTTGTTCGCCAGATGACCATAACTGATAACTTTCCATTAAAGTTCTTATCCTCTGTTGTTACGGCTTTAGTTCAAGGCCACCCACCATTCTCTATTATCACAGAGGCACCTTCTTGAATCACAATTACAACTATAAGCCATAAAAAAAACAATTCTATGAACAAATTTTCTACCAACTATTACCAAATACTCCCGACCATAATGTCCTCATCTTGATCGACTAAGCTTTAGTTTCAGTTCATTGTCACCTAGTGTTACTTTTCAGGAGCTCCTGGAGCCTTCTTCACTCGGGAATAGTGGATCAAGCGGCTTGTTCTCTAATCTTGATAGCAGTGTGAGTTGTCAGCAACACTTGATACAGTCCATTCCATTTTTCCTGTAGGGGTTGTCCTGAAAAAGTCTTTATATATATATTCCGCAGGCTTAAAGGGGTGGATTGGTTGATCCAACCCTCTAGCCTGGTCCCTAACACAAATTTATGTACTTTATTTAATTGTTTTTGAAGTTCAGTTATATAAGTATATAAATATTCTGATCCCAGCTGCATTAGATCCTCTCCACTAAATATAAATTGATATGGCCTTCCATATAAAATTTCAAAGGGGCTCAAATTCTTCTTTACTCTAGGTTTAACTCTAATTCTAGTAATGCTAAAGGGAGGGATTGAGGCCATGACAAATTAGCCTCTTGTCCGATTTTAGCTATTTGTTGTTTAATTAAATGGTTCATTTTTTCTACCTGTCCACTTGCCTGTGTCTATAAGGGTATGTAGTTGCCAATCTATCTTTAGATCTTACTTATCTGTTGTACCACTTGTGCACAAAAATGTGAACCTCTATCAGAAGACATTGCTACTGGAATCCCGTAGCATGGTATTATTTCATTTAACAAGACTTTAACCACTTCTCTTGCTTTGTTTGTTCGACAGGAAAAGCTTCGGGCCATCCAGAAAATGTCAGTCAAAACCAGTAAATAACAAACCCCCCTTTTCTAGGGAGTTCTGAAAAAATCAATTTCCACTGTTGTCCTGGATAATTTCCTTTACCAATTATTCCAAATTTTATTCTATTCTGGTATTGGGGTTGTTACGTAAACAGATGCTACATTGTTAGTTACTTGTTTTATTGTTGTGTATAAATTTCGTCCTACTAATGTCTGACTCATGCTCTTATGCAATGTGTCAGCTCCCCATGTGTTTTATTATGTTCTGTGAAACTATGGGCCGTATCAAATTAGAGGGTATTATCACAGTTATCTTTTAAATATACCCTATCTGGTTTCATTTTACCTTTCAAATCTTCAATTAATTTTAAGTCTTCTTTTGTATAATTTGGTTTTTGGTCATGTACATAGTTTGGATTTTACCGTCTGGTATCAAAGACATGCCTTCACCTCAATTATTTCAGCTGCCTGTTTAGCCTCCTGATCTGCCAATCGATTTCCAATTTCAAAATCAGCATTCCCTTTTGGTGTCCCACAATGCATGATAGCTACCTTTTCTGGTTGTTTTACTGCCTCTAACAATTAAAATTTCTTCAGCATGTTTTTTGTTTTCCCTGAGCAGTCAACAATCCACGTTCTTTCCAAATTGCTCCATGAGCATGTACACCCGAATGCATATTTAGAATCTGTCCAAATATTTATTTCCTTCCTGCTGCCAGTTCCAGTGCTCACGTAAGTGCAATTACCTGCTTTCTGGGTGACGTCCCAGGGAGTAATGGTTTAGACTCGATTACCTGTTGAGCAGTTGTAACAGCATATCCTGCCTTACGTTGTCCTTGTTTTACAAAGCTGCTCCCATCAGTATACCAAGATTCATCAGCATCTTCTAAAGGTTCCTCCTTAAGATCGGGTCGACTAGAATACACAGTCTCCATTGTTTCTATACAATCATGAGTTATAGGTTCATCCAGAGTTCCGCTAAGGAAAGAAGCTGGATTTACGACGTTAGTGACCACAATTTCCACATCATCTTGTTCTACTAATATTGCTTGATATTTTAAAATCTCTGTGGTGAAAGCCAATGGTTTCCTTTTTGTTCCAAAACTGTTGAGACCGTATGGGAGACTAACACTATCATTTTCTGTCCCATTGTAAACTTCCGAGCTTCTTGTATATTGATAACAACAGCTGCAACAGCTCGAAGGCATCCGGGCCATCCTTTACTTACTTCATCTAATTGTTTAGAGAAGTAAGCTACTGCTCGTTTATAGGGACCCAATCTTTGTGCTAGTACTCCCAAAGCTATCCCTTGTCTCTCATGAGAAAACAACCAGAAGGGTTTCGAAAGATCCGGTAATCCCAAAGCTGGAGCTTGCATCAATTCTCGTTTAAGTTGTTTGAAGGCGTTTCGTGCTCTCCAGTCCAGACTAACTTTGACTGATTACTCTTTATCAATTCATATAGAGGC